TGAGCTGACGCGTGCTCGTTTTTGACCTCAATATTATTGTTATATGGAAGTCAAAGGTTAGAACTGCATGATCACTTTTACCTAGATGTGGGATGTAATTGAGATTCGTGAGGTCATCCTCATAATTGGTCAGTGTAGGATTTAGTAGGGATGACTCAGCAACCATGTCGTACCCAGTCGCTTCTTTCATATGTTGCACTAAGGCAGATTTGATAACTGCATCAACTAAATTCTGCTCGAAGTAGTTTTCTGATAATTGATTTCTAAGATTTCCCACTCTACCGTAGGTGCGCTAAAGTCTCTTATGATTACATATCGACCACTTTGTGACCGAGTATCGAAACTGTTAAGCAAGACCCTATTTAACCCACAACTTGGACTTCAGTAAAACCAACTAATCAACAGCTCATGAACGTCGCATTTCAAGCGGCAACTAACTAATTCAAACGTCCCACTCTCTTGGGATACAACGATCCGAGCGCTTATTGAGTAGGCTTCGAACATTTGTGTGACAGATCCGAGGCCTACTTAAATGGCTTTGTGCCGCACACAGAGTGGCTTCGAGTTATTTCTTTGTCGAAGCTTCATAACCCAAAAACTCACAACTTTCAGGTCCTTTTCGACAGCATCTAACCTAAGCTTTATTTTTTGGCTTCTTGTCTTTTTACACGGTCTGTGAGCGACAAGTCCTTACGGATAATGACTACTAAACCTTTTAGTCTATGTCCATCCTGTAATATCAAGTCCCGATCATTAGACTTCGAGTATACTTTAAGCAGCCTGATTTGATTTTTTTCATGTTCGTTTGGCTACTTAGTCTATAGACCTTCAGCAAGGCGACCCCGAAGATACCCTGAGGCATTGGCTGATTTATCAACACGATGTCATGCACCAAACGAATTTTAGATTCTGAGCTTTCACTCTACTTGATTCGATGAAAGGTAAATGATCTGTCACTGTGATCAGTCCTGATTTTCCGGCAATTTTTGTGGTAGGTGGTGAGTGATTCACACGTATTTTCAATATCTGATTACTTAGGTATGATCTGTATGGAGCTTTCACTTTTGACAGAATACCTATCATATCTTACTTCATAGCACGGTACTTATGACCGACCCTACATAATGATAAGGGAATCAGGGTACGTGGCATTCAATCTTTCCTTTTGACTAAAGACTATTGTTCGCTTCCATAATGTGGTTGACGGATTCGTAATCCATGAGTTGTCCTTCTTGTAACCATACTCCCGAAGTGAGAATAAATTAGTGGATAGTAACAGATAATACAGTCCGTCGATCACCAGAGCATTCATAAGGAAAGTGGATACTGAAACTGGACTAAGTGGATGGTTGCTTGATGGGTTGTTATACCTGTGTTCTATAAGGATTAGTGTAATATATATCAAGTACCATTATTTCCAGATGACCCCTAGATTTAAAGAATTTAAGGACATTGAACTAAGAGATGTTGTCGTGTCTGAGACTGCTTCTCTCAGTATAGTGAAGATCCTATTCAGTTTGAGAAGCATATTTGTGCGAAGCTGATATAGATTGTTGAACATCAGTTCCCAACTTAAATTCAATTCCAATATACCTGCCATGATGTAGTAGACACTCCTCTTTGATGTTGGTGGTCAAGGACAGCTGGGGCGCTGGCACATATTGCTTGATAGGGACTCTGCGACATCGCTGTTATCACTTTTATTATTCAAAAACATCTTATGGGTACATAAGTGTTGTGAAGAAACCATTTCGGGTAACTTCAGAAATGTAACAATATACAATTTCAATAATGTTAGCATTATATTTGCCATATTTGAAAAAGAGAATAATGATAATAGAATAATAACAACAAATCAGGTTCTATGTAATTGAGAAGAATATTGAGTCGAGTTTAAAGAAGAAAAGGAAAAAATATGGAAATAAAAATAAAGGAGACGTGAAATACGTAAATAATTTAATAAGCGTGTTTGTGAACACAGAACAAAAATAAACGACTATGTATGTATCGTCAAATTAGTAAAAATGATATCAAATAGAAAACAATTAAGAAAAAATAACTTATTATTGCAATAAGATATGACGCTAGAATAAACGTTTGTACAGTCATAGTTTGGAGCGATGCTATGAAAGTCTGTTTTATAACAACTATAAGCTTAATAAGTTAGCTGTGAGCTAACAAATGTTGTAATTTGTAGATCATGCTTGTGAAAATGGCGTTTACCTGCTCATGCAGAAATATATTATTATTATTGAAAAGTGAAAAGTATAATGAAATATCAAAATGTATGCGTCATTTATACATAGTGAAGATAACAGATGAATGGCTCATCGAAAACAAAACAATTCGAGACAACTTAGAAATTCATCGCACTGAATTTGTGATCTGTAATATTAACTATTCATTAACTACACAGAAAACCCCCATAAACAAAACCAAACACTATCATGACCACCGAACTGCATCAAAGATTCTCTGACTGGCAAGAATGTGATTAACGAAATTTTATTGCAGCTCAAGCTTCGTCGATCTCCACGAAACAGTCGTTAGATACGTGCTTCTGATGACAACAATATGGAAAATAATAATTTGTCTGAAACTTCTTGTCCCACACTCGAGAGTACACGTCTCCTTTACTTGCTAAAATGTTTGTGTGACTGTAGGAGATCATGTGTAATGGACTACCGGGAGTGAACCGAGAGAGACTATTAATTTAGGACATAATTTACTTACTGTCGTTGACTTCAACTCTCGATCAAATAAATGTAGATTGCTCGTAATTGTATTGAATGAGGTATTGTCCAGCTTATATTCTGATTCTTTACATATTGTCACAAATGAGACATCTGGAATAACGTAACCTCAGTCTATGTAATGTATATCAATGGACTATTTAGTCTAGTAGTAGTACGATCTCTATCGGAGATTATTCTGGTGATCAGTAATATTCAAATTCAAGTGCTAACTAAGGATTTCCGAAACAGTTCATTTTAAGGCATATAGAACTGGATGAGCCCAAATGAGCGTATTATATGTGGAATTAGTAATAAGTTTGCAATAAACTGAAGATGAGTCGTTGGATAGTTGAAATTTCATATTCGTTTCAGCTAAGACGGAAATTTGGATTCCTAAAATCTTCTGTGCGTCTTCTTCTTAGCTCCATTATGTGTCTGTTCAGCTGTGCATTGGGTATATGCTCTTTACGACCCAGAATGTGCCTATTAGTTTCAGAATATACAACGGATGTTGTAACAGACTCACCTGGGGTCATGTAAAGTTTTCGGTCATTGTGAACGGTTAGCATGTGAACCGTAGTTTTATTGACCATTTTTAGAAGACCTTTTGTAGATTGTGGAAAATCAGTACCTCGACGACATGTAACATCGGAAGACTATAAACATCCTATATTTGGATGAAGTTTTGCATTTAAGCAATTTAATTAATGTTTTTTTTGTAAACTGTCTGACAATTCTAGGCCTGAAGATTTCATCTACTCTCCTCTTTGAATATTTGAATTTTGAAGAGGTAATCAACTCGATTTTATTCGAGGTCACGTTATTTTCTGCTTGGGGATCAAGACAAGACCTTGTGCAGACCCAGGAGAGATGATCTAAAATCAGTGATGACAAAGCATGAGAATACAAAGTTTATGACCAGTAAAACGTTACACAGAAAGCTTGGTCGAATGAACTTCATCAACAATTCCAGTCCTTAGAAAAACATTTATCGTCCTCATTGTTGAAGCAAAAGGCAAACTAAGTATCCATTCCACTCAATAGTTCTAGTAATATATATATGTTTAGTTTAATCCTCAACACGCTTAATATGAGAATGCAAAAAAGTTATTTAGGAGTTAAACAAATTGAGTTTATAATAACGAATAGTTATTTAGAATAGATATACTTTAACAAGTCAAACTAAGATGCATAGAAATAACTGTTGGTTAAGTTAACCTATGGACCATATAAGTATTTCGTGGTTAGCATTAGAAAAACAATCAATAACGTGGAGACGTTAATGTTAGTATTACTTTTGATTTGAATTAGATAGTCAGTTAATGTTCGTGCAGATATTTTGTCCGCATGAGTTGATTTCCAATTGCATTTACTTTATTAGGCTAACTAACGAAACAATAATGTAACTGCAAAAAAGATAAGTTCTCATTAGATTTCCGGGCAGTTTGTCGATCTCAAGTGATACTCATGTGATTATCAGGAGGATTATAGGTTTTAACCAACGGGGTACGAATCTCAACTTATGTCTGTGATAATAGCACGAACCTCTGACAGTGTTGGCGTGAATTTGAATATGGTGTTTTCATTGTGCAGAAAATTCGCTCGGCTTCTTAAACTGATTATTTGTAAGTTGGATCTGTGTCGCTAAACATCTAATTAGACTGAAAAGGTGTTAAGCTGCTTACTTAATGAGAAATTGGGAGAGAAACATACTAGATAAAGAAAACTAAAAGAAAACAACGCCACCTAATGATAAATACAAATCAGTTTAACGACAGAGTTTGTGTTAGTGACTCTATAAGTTTAATCAATCATATTGGGTGATTATCAAGTCATTACAACTATTTACAGATTTAATTGGTAGTGAGCTAGATGGTAAGGAGTACTTTAGTTCTAGATGATTCTGAACTATGAGAAGTGTGTATGGCATAAATGAAGCCAAGATGCCTGATTATATTACCGATCGTAATACAGAAATATTTATTCACTAAGTGTCAGTTTTGGTAGAAGCCCCAGTTCTTATATTGAACGCTTGCTTGACTGACAACTACGTGATAATTAAGATATTATGTCAATGCAGTATGGTATCTTATTGAGATGACTTCATTATTTTTATAATGACAAACGTCTTTTCAAACGAAAAATATGATAACTCAATCTACAAACTCAAATACGCATAACTAAGAGTTGGGTGTGGATTTTTGTAATTCGCTAGACTGCATTATAAGACAAATCGAAAAAACCAGGTGCGTTTTTTTAACCTCATGCGTTACGGCGCATCTCGCGGATATTTAAAGCCTAATGGTCAGTTTGGGACTTACCTCCCTAGGAACCTCATTTTACATGTATTCTCTCTCTTATTTGCATATTTCACTTTAGATTTCAATGTTTAGATTAGTATATAGCACTGAAGTAATTTCTTAATAATGCCCACCATTTTGCTAATATGACGCTCCACAAACTTCTAATTTTTGTAAAATTTTAAGGAAAGCGCTATAGAAATTTTCTAGGGAATTTCACAGAACTCCAAAAGATTTCACGATTTCCCTTAATATTTTCCCAGAACTTTTGACAAGTCTGAGTGAACCTATCTGTTAAGCGAAAGCTTCTATTCCTTCCAAAACCATTTGGGCCATTTGAATCTATGTTCTGTGATTAAACCCCAATAATTTACCGCTTTTTGAGAAAATTCTGCTCGATTTCCGGTTATCTCATATACTGCACTCGAAAAACAGCAAAATTACCGATAGCGCAGAAAATGCTGGCGATTTGGTAATAAGTGCTTAAAAGTTTCCGTTCATTTATTCCATTTTTCCCCTGTTGACTTCGCACAGTAAACGTAGTCGGGAAGCAATTTACCCACAATTAGTAACAAGAACTGTCATGTCGCGATAAATCAACAATGCCGTAATAAAAAACTGGTGCGTTATAAATGAGAATGTTTATTAAGGTCTAATAAAGTACAAACTATCCATTATTTCATTACTGCTTCAAACTCCTAACAATTGACTATGTGTTTTGGATAAGTAAATTAGGTTGATGTTAAAATGTCATTCACAGTATTCTATAAAAAGAAGAAAATTCTCAGCATTACAAACTCAGTCTCAAACAGCCAAATAGCTTGTAATAAGCGAACAAATGTCATAGAAATCATCCAACGTACGAATTCGTAATGACATGTAAATGGTTGATTACGTACCAACGGTATTACAATAATGTATTCTGAATAAAAGACTTACAGTTAGGTATGTAAACACTTGCGAAGCCAGCTGAAAATTAAGTGGACAAGAAATAATTATTTCAGTATAAATTCTTATATACAAATGTAAAAACAGAATACGGTAATTTAATCACGGATTTTAAGTGCATTTAGCTCACCCTTTCTTTAAATTGCCATGCACACTTATTTACTCTATCTTTTGCGTCGTGTAAGAAAGCCTGGCGTTCAACTTTTATGGCTAGTGTTATTTCTTTTTCTGGACAGGTTGCACTTCGAAACTGTGAACATATCTACAAATATATTAAGACTATGATGTAAACTTTTATTAAATCGCTCTGTAGAACCTGTAATTACTAATAATTGTTTTACTTTTAGTCCTACATAAGTTATAAGTAATCGCCAGTTCCGGCGTCAAAACATGAACTAGATATGCTTTGGTTAATTTCCGAAGATAATCACATACGATCTCGGACAATTTAGTCACCTGAAATTTTATAAATATCTATCACAACTTACAAACTGGTCACAAAACTGGTGCTCATCCAAAGCTGCTTCATGAGTACGCATTTCCTCAGATGTTTCCAATGGGAATGGGAAACTTGTAGTGTCTATGCTGTCGCTGTTCCTGTCTTTCACACCCATGGATGAGCTTTTTTTGAAAACAGTTAGGTTGTCAGTCTTGTTCGACAGGTCACTTATTACTTTCAGTATCATTTTGCTGTCGTTATTGAGCAACCTATTGGTATCATGTTTACACTTACTGCAACATACGGTTTACTAACTTCCTTTGAAGTAGATGAGAGCGTTGATGAAAAAACCCCCGTTTTTGATGAACTGCTTTATGAGTATGTATTCAGTAGATACCTAGCTATAGGTGAAAAGTTCCCAGTCAAAATGTTGACAACTGAAAAGTCGACTGGGACTCACGCATCTTTCATTTTCACAACTACTAGTTCTTCAGAGGTACACAAGTAGTCCTTCATCGTGCGTGCGACAGCCCTAACAATAGATGAATTGCGTACGTTTATCAATTTACCTTTTCGGCTTCTCTGTTCTGCACGACAGCGTGTCATCCTTGTGTGCATTTGTGCTTTTTTATCCGAGTACTGTAGTAAAAGATACTTTCAGTTCCTCAGCTGTATGGTGGTCATCTGAAAACAATTACTTCAAAGTGGTGACAACTTATCACAATAATGCAATACAGTGCACGCTCGCAGGGAGAACCGACTATCGTAATCGATACTATCAAAAATATCGGTTATAAATTTAGAAACTATAAATTTACTACATTCATGAACTCAGTATCATTTGTAATGACTGCAGAACATTGTTAATTTGTAGAATATTATACAGTTACAAAAATTGTAAACCTCGGTCGACCTTTCTTGTAATTAATCATCTATGTATCAATTAAATATATGAGACTGATTCTGTATTGACTTTAAGCTCCGTGCAGATATAGGATGTACATCAGTTTAGTAGCTTTGGTCTGGGCACCCCGGGCAGTATTACAGCCCTCACGCAAGTCCATGGTAACTTCTACTGGCTTCACTGTTATTGTGTGGCGCATATGTTTTTGGTGCCTCCTGTACCAATGTTTATGTACTCAAACAAATAAATATAAAAATAAAGTCCAATAGCATCATGTCTTCCAGTGGGACTCATTTCTCACTGACTAGGAATGGTTCATTTCCAGTTATCTAACGCTATGACCATTATGCATATCGATAAACTCAGCTTTTTAAACAAGCCCCGATCACTGGTTTTTTATGCAGTGACTCCGTACCGCATGTATCTGTTGACATACTATAATATTTAAAGTTAAATTTTAGACTGTAATTAAGAGTCTCGATCGTCTAGAAATGTTTCGTATTTCACAACAGGATTCAGTGTCAGTTTCGCTGACATTTTTTGCTAATGGTTCGAATAATGTCAACATAGTTTTGATGCTTGTTTTCATGAGAAGGCGCTGACCAGGTTGAACGAAACGTTACAGTTATTTTCTGTTTCAGTCGCTGAGACTTAAACATATATAATTCTCTCCCATCACTCTATTCTTAACTACTGTGAAACTATTCGTCCAAAGTTGGGTGTAAGTTCTTATAAAACAAGGATATCTACTATTTTCATCTATTTGGCTCTATTAAAATATCTTCACTTGGCCACCGAATACTCTAGTACGACCGAGAGTAGAGAGAGTCCATTTCATCTCTCTAAATAATCTCACATGGCCATGCCTTATGCAGCCATTTCTGGGGAAGTCCTACACTTTGACTTCTTGTGGAAAGCTAATATCCAGGGCTTTAAACAGGTTGGTGGATACAGAACATTCGCCTAGAAGTGTTGAAAAACCCTGGTGCCAAATCAATGGTCTACATGGGCTCCAAGATCCTGAGCGAGCTAATTTCGTATGAACCTGTTATTTATTTGAACACATAAATATTGATACAAAGGGGCACCAAATACATATATGCTACACGGGTCATCTGATTTGTATGTGGGCTGTGATACTGCTCGGGTGCCCAGACCGAAAGAGGTGGTTTTGTTTGGCGGGCGTACCCGGAGCCTTCGACCTCAAGGTCTGATCCACAAGGCAGTGGAGCAACTTTAGGAGGTGCACTCCCATGGTAGCCGGTGACAAACGATTGGTTTATACGTCATGGCCTGTGACGACTGATCCACCAAATAAGGCGGAAGTCCGCAAGGTACTCCAACTCTTGAAGCACTACAAATCACCAGGCCCAGATGACTTACCTCCAGCTATTTTTAAAGATGGTGGTGACTTTCTGACTAAGGAACTGACAAAGTTGTTTACAAAGGTCTGCGAGGACGGTAGGATGCCAATCACTACCATACATCGACGTCTTGGAAGATGGGCAGAATTCTTCGAAGGGCGGTTCAACTAGCCTGCTGCTCCGGCAACATCGGTCGGACTATACTGCCCTCCATGGCCGGTGACGACTGATCCACCAAATACGGCGGAAGTCCGCAAGGAACTCCAACTCTTGAAGCACTACAAATCACCAGGCCCAGATGACTTACCTCCAGCTCTTTTTAAAGATGGTGGTGACATTCTGACTAAGGAACTGACAAAGTTGTTTACAAAGGTCTGGAAGCTCGAGAGTGTACCAACGTCATGGAATGAGTCGATAGTTGTCCCTATCTTTAAAAAGGGTTCACGTCGTTTCGGTAACAACTATCGGGGATAAGTCTACTTCCGATTGCGTCCAAGCTATCGGCTTCCGACAGACTCCGTAGGTTGTTCGAAACCCGAGAAAGATTAACTTGCGAGGAACAGGCTAGTTTCCGTTCTGGTCGAGGATGTATTGGTCATATCTTCACCCTCCACCAAATGTTAGAACACCATCATACTTATCACTGGCCAACAATCGTAATGTTTCTTGACATCAGGGCTGCCTGAGAAGTTTCTTAACATTCTAAAGGCCCTATATACAAACACCTCAGGCAGAGTGAGGGCATACAACCACCACTCTTCACTGTTCCATTCAAGCAGTGAGGTTAGACAGGGTTGCCTAATCTCATCATTCCTCTTCAACTTCACCGTCGGTGACATTCTGGAAACAGCTCCGATGGATGTAAGTAGTGGCGGTGTGGATCTGTTGCCTAGAGAAAGGCTTCTTGACCCTGAGTATGCGGATGATAATGTCTTACTGTGTGATAATACCCAAGCAGTGCAATCCTCACTTCATCAGTTGGTAATTAGTGTCCGTAGGTATGGTATGTGCTTTGGACCTTCAAAGTGCAAAGTACTTCTACAAGACTGGTAGGATTCTAATCCTGTACTCACCCTGTGTGATGAGCAGATCGAAGTAGTCGAGAATTTCGTGTATCTAGGTGGTAGTTGCATAAGTGCTGGTGGTGGCGTGAGTGATGAGATCGATTCACGTATAGTGAAAGCCAGAGCGGCTTATGCCAATCTGGACCATCTTTGGCGCCTTTGTAATGTTAGTCTGTCTGTGAAAGGTTGGATCTACAACGCATCAACGAGAGCAGTTTTGCTCTATGCTTGTGAAACCTGGCCTCTCCGAGTTGAGGATGTTAGACGGCTCTCTGTGTTTGGTAATCGTTGTCTCCGAAGAATCGCTGACATCCAGTGGCAACATCATGTTAGTGACGCAGAGGTTCGGCATCGTGTGTTGGGGCACAGAGACGATAATGCAATTGGTGTCACCATCTTGAAACACCGACTTCGGTCGCTTGGACATGTGCTACGAATGTCCTCCCAGAGAATTCCATGTCGTGCATTATTTGCCGACTTTTGGACTGGTTGGAAAAAGCGGAGTGGTGGTTAGTGTATGAATTGATGCCGTGCTTCTGGCTGCCTGTGTAATATATTTATCTTTCCCAAACTTGAACTTCGCTCTCTAGTTAGCTGGGCATGGACGCGTTGGAATAACTAGCTTATTTGTCATTGTTTCACGGGGTCTTCGTTTCGTTCTCAGTTTAGGTGAACTCGTAATTTCTTCAAACATAGCATCCACCATGTGTGCGAAACTTCCCAATAGGCATGTCTATGAACAGTTTTGTATTTGGCTGTGCAATAGATCGATATTTTGACGCAGCAACATCTAATAATTTCGGCTGCGCTATTGATAGTTTTGTAGTTCACTCGTTCTCATAGCTAAGCTTTCTAAGTGAGCCACCTCTTGTCAATATTGTGATCAATAAAATAGACTAGTTAATAATAAATTATTTATTTATTTAAACACACATTAGTACAAGGATGCACCAAACAGATATGCGCCACACAAATCATTCGATTTGTGTGAAGGCTGGAATACTCCCAAGGTGTCTAAACCTAAGCAGGTGGTTTTCTTAAGGGGGCCACATCCGTAGCCCTTGACATAAAGGGCTGGTCCACAAGGCACTGGAGCAACTTTAGGAGATGCTGGTGACTAACGATTGGTTTGTACGCCATTTGTTACTTCGGAAAACTGGAGCCCATGTGCGCCGTTGGTTTGTAATCAGGGTTTTCCAACTCTCCGTGTCCTTCACCCCGGTTAAAGCGCCGGACATTCGCTTTTCGTCCGCTCAATTTCGTAAACAACATCCTCGTCACGAGAAGGCAGTGAGTAGGACTTCCCTGGCAGTGGTTGTGTGCATGTGGCCATGTGAGAGCATTTCTAGAGGGAGAGCTGACTCTCCCTATTCTCGGCCGTACCAGGGCATTTGGTTTACTGATTAATTATTAGCATTATCCTGTGTTATGTTCCAGAAATTTGTTTTCCTCTTCATAGTCGAAGTTTTAGGTATTTCAGTTTCATGACTGTTTATTCCATCATGTTATTTTGTTTTGGTTGCACTTAGGCCAAGTATTTGGTCCAGTTGATTCTATCTGGTGCTCGAGTTTTGGGCCGTGCCTTTGCCCAAGCTGTCAAAGAAGAATATGTTTCAAGTCAAAGAGTTGCTAACGCCCGTCGAAACAATGGTTCTGGTGGTTCCGCACAAAATACTTACGTCCAAAACGCTGGAATCTCACTAGAGGAAGCAAAACAAATATTGAATGTCAAAGATATTCACGATATAAATACTTTAAATAAACACTATGAACACCTCTTTTCGTCCAACAGTAAAGATAAAGGTGGATCATTTTACCTACAATCTAAGGTATTCACCGGTATATTTTACAATCAATTTTTAATCCAAACGTCTATTTTGTTAGCTTATTAAACCATGATGGACAAAATTTTGTATAACATACCAAATTTTAAATGCCTACTTTTCATTGTGGTTTTATCATAAAACCGAACCATATTTATATGTATATTTAGTTTGATCCAAAAGTTATAAATCATCATTGTGGTTGAACATTTCAGATAGTCGCCTAATAAAAATAGACATTTTTGTACACATTTGGTATTCTCTAGTGCATCATCTTGAATAATTGGTCAATAGAATTGTCGTCTAGATACTTTTCGTCTAGCTTTGTCACGAGACACTAATTATTTAAAACTATGCTCTTATCAATGCAATATCTGACTAGTTTTGTATTTTTAATGTTCTGTTACTCTTATTTAGGTATTTCGAGCGAAAGAGCGTATTGATGAGGAATTACAGTTTGAACAGTCAGAACGGCGACGAGATCCAGAATCTAGAAACAATAACCAATCAGGGACTTGAACAAATGTAAAATTCACTTTGTTTTTTTATCAGTTCTCTGTATTTAGGAATTTACAGATAAGTCAGTATCCTATAAATTTATTGTACAGTATTAGTTGAAGAGAAATTAAAAATAAGCACGATTAATTTTACGTTGTTTCTTTATGGAGTACTATGAAGTGAGGAAATTTTATCGCTACGAAAGTTCAGCTGAATAATAAAGCTACTTTGAATCATAAACGAATATAAATAGCTTCTAATTACTGATTAGAGTTTTCAAGTAAAACACTTGTTTTCACAACAGTTTCTCATTGTAATTCACTTTGTCATGATACTTTATTTTCAAATACATGAATTCATACAATGTAAGAATTTAAATTCTCATATGCTAAGCTGATGTTTTGGAAACTTAGCAGTATACAAAGGTTTTTGTGGTCAACTATAGGCTACGCTTATCAGAGAAAGTCTAAAACACAAGCAATTATTTTTTAAAATACGATTTATGTTAACTTAAATTCAGATTTATACGTGTGAAATTTCAAAAATACGTTTGCTTAAGTACCTGTTTTTAACAGCTCACCTCTAAGTTCAAGTTGGATAACTGAATAGATATTCATGAAGACAGTAAATTAATTCACTGTCCATATTCTGACATACATTTAAGTCCGTTAGATAATCGTCAGTTTTAAGGGAAATATATTTCCATAACTTATCTGCGTATCTTTGGATTATTTCACATTTGTTATATTATGATCTATCATTATTTAAATAAAGCACGACAATATTTGCAAAATACAATCAATTCATTGTAATTCCTTTGATAGTAACGTACTTATAAATTGAAAGATAAATTGAACATTAGAGAACAGTAACGTGCTTGAAAGGCAAAATTGTGGTAAATTTTAAACGACTTGAAATGGGTATTTATAAATAATTGGAGTGATATGTAAAGTTATTTATCTTCTCGTTGTTGACATTAAAGACTGAAATTGGTCAGTCTGTTGGTATATTTTCATCCCGAGCGGATTGCCTTGGTATTAAGTTTCAGTTACCAGTCTTAATATATCTGGATTTCAGCAGTGAATATAAGAAAGTACGTTTCATCCTAGTTTATACTCGTTATTCTGAAAAATTATAAATCTTGGATATAAATTTACACTCGTTAGACAAGTTAGTGACTATCTAGACTCAGGGGATAACTCGTCCGGTTTGAAGCAATAGTTGAACATCAGTGGTGGCATATTAACATATCCGGCTGTGTCTCACATGGGATGAAATGTAAGTCCCTGATTTTACTGCCAGCTACAGATCAATTATAATCCTTATTCTTCAAACTTCTTTATAACCCTCATTTAGCCCTAGTTAGTAGGTAAACACTCAAGGTCAATTTGGCGTCACTGAAAGGTCGTCGACAAATGATAGCCTCACCACTTTTCCCCTATTCGTTTGTATGGTTACATTCACATCGAGGTATTTTGTGTAACTATATGCAAACATATTATGGTATACGACAAGACATAACCAAAACCTGACTCACTTATGTTTTTCACTTTTAAAGTATGGTACTATTTATCAAAACTTACTCGACATCATGTCACAAATGTTAGATTCTGCCGAAAATGTGCAAAATCACATGGCATAGTCCCTTTGATAAATTTCGATAATGTGATGAGAAGACAAAGTTTAACATAATTATGTGATATATTTGCGCAATACATTTTGGACAATATCACAATTCTGATAAACTTAGCTCACGAATAGAATGAAACGTTTGTCAGATCCCGCCGCTGGTCACAATTCGACTTTACCAAAAACGTGCAACAATGACAGTATCTAGACAAGATGCAAATCTGCTAATAAAGACTGACAAGTTACAGTCTTCAGTTCTATTACTTACGGACGAGACGATATATTTAAGTCAAAATTTTATCACTAGTATGTCTGTAGACCCTTTTAATTCAATGTCTAGTAAGTTAACAGGTTTAATATAACTTCAGGTGGATTCTTTTGGTATTTGTACGTTAATAATATAGAAATTAGTACAACTGGACTGTAGCTCACTATTTATCAAAGTAATTTGAAAAAATCGGTAATCTTATGTGCACTTAGTGTATTCATAATATGACGGTATAAGTAGCGATACATAAATCTTTGGTCGTGTTTGGCGAAATAACAAATTACTTAAAGCATTTAAAGGCAGTTTCATGAATATGACACTAGCTGATATTATTATTATTATGCTGTGGTGGTTGGTACAATACCAAGCCCACTTGGGCTATTCTAACTTCTAGACAAACCAATTTATCAATTCTCAAGCTACATTTTGACCTTGTTTATCATTCGCTTACTAACCCTGGCTGTTTTTAGGTGATCATATGCATATAAATTGCTTGCGTTATTCATTAAATGTCTGTAACTTATTTTTGTTCGACTATATGTATCGAGTCAAGCTTGGTTAAACCGAGTTGGTTCACTCACCCTTTCCACTGCGCGTCATTTCGCTTCGTCTCCATGATTGTTTAGATCAATGAGTGTACGAAATATATGTATCCAAACTTATTCCGCGATTTAAACCGATGAAAATATACGAGGGTTTGCGACAGGTATATTTTGGCAACAAATTAGCACACGATTAAACTGGGGTCAGTTATAAGGCCACTAAAACGCGATAGTTAGTATTGGCATAATTGGCTTTAATGACATATCAATTAGTCACAGTGAGACAAAGTTCGTTATGTGCATAGGTACATGTAAGAAGCAATGCATACCCAACACAAATGTGCTAATCACTTATTTTGATTGATAGTATGCTATAACTAGAATCTCTGGAGTCATCTGAAAATGGACACGAAAGATTTTGTTTTAGTGAGTGCTAATTAGCTGGAGAAAAATCACTAAAACAGGAAAATTGTAAACCTTATTAAGTCTGATCACATACTAGAAGTATCCCCCAGAAACTTACAGCATAGAGGGAATTTGACTTCTCGAATAAAATAAACCCATGTATATTAGAATTATAATTCCATTCTTAAAAGTGTGATCTTATTGGTAATTTCCAAGAGGTCATCATTTCATTATACTTACGGACAAGCACTGGCAAAACCTATATGAATTTCATTGTTAGTTAGTAGTTTCGTATATGAAATTGTGTAGTGTACGATTTCGTGATGTGAGGTATGTTTCTCTTGAGGTTCATATTGCTTTTATGCCCCAAATTGGAACGTATGAGATGTATTGTTCTTACCAGTTTCTAATGACTTATATGTTCGTGCGCTGTGCTGATAATTTGCGACTGCAAAATCAATGTCGTGAATAAAACTACCGCCTATTCTTTTCGCTGTCCCACTAACTGTAGTGGAAACATCAGTTTATTAGATGAAGGTTTTCGACGTAGAGTAAAATCAATCAAAATACATTAAGTTTATCGATTTTATATCCATAGAAAGTAATCAGAATATTTAATATATGGGAATCCCATGAACAGTGTTCAAACTGAATACTTCACTGTAGCAGAATTTCGACTTAATTTGTTTGCTTCCCATAAGTTTTAGTTTCATATTGTACATCCCTAATACTCAAGTCGGTTTTAGCTCGAGGTAAAAATAACCGGCAAGAAAGAATAGTTACATTAGATAGAAATTACTAAATAAATTAAACTATGGAAAGGACCGATCACTTGGTTAGAAGAATTTAAACAATGACTAAAGAGACAGCAAACGTCTGTGCACTTAATTGGCAATTTAACCATTATTTCCCGTGACAATTGTTAATAGGATGCTAGAAAGCTATTACTAATAGAATGTGCTGTAGTGTGTATTTAGGTGTATATTTCTATTGAGATGCGCTACTGATGTCTACAGATATAAGTAGTATGTATCACCAATTGAATGTGTAATGCCTAAAGGCAAATTGTTAGGAAGATTGAAGAAAAAAGAACGAGAACAGAGGACGGTTAGTTTGGAAAAAATAATGAAGTCTGAGACGATTGATTGACACTTTGCAAATTAAGTGTTTACTGTATGGTTCTCAAAATTTACTAGGACGTTCTGTAATTTGATGTTCAAATACATACATTGTCCTCCGCTGGTGTTCTCGTCCACTACACTACCACCAGACAGTTTTCAATGCTTTCCTTTTTTCTAGTTCACGATTTTTTTAATAACTAGGAAGGGGATTTGAGGATTAAATCATTTGAAAACGGGCAGTCATTAAAACTTAATCAAAACCTGATTTAAATTTAAGTTACAGTTATACGGCTGGGAGTTTCCTGTATGAATTTTATCTGGTTTAGTTAAATCTACTTTGTAGCGTATATCTGTTTTATTCAAATCGAAATTTATTTTTTCACAGTTAATCTGTCATTGGTTCCTTATGTATTTGTTCTTTTTATTTAGAGGATAGCATCTGGCTAGATCGATTGTATGATAGTCAAATACAGGCCATAAAGTCTGAAGTGAATTTACAATACACTAACCGTTAATTTTTACATTAAGGGTTGATTGATAAATAAATAGAAGACGTTATTTAATACACGGTTAGCTCTAATTTAACTTTTACTTATCGTTTTCTGTATATGCAAGAACATATGCTGATGACAGAAAGAAAAAATTAAGCCTGATATTCAGGTCTTAGTTTTATCTAATGCTGAGTGCTATATACAAATTATATTTTATAATCCTTTTCTTAAATGATATTGAAATAAGTACTTTGTCTATTAATGTGGCATTCTGTTGTATGAGACTACAATATTTTATGATCAGTTGTTTATCCTTGTTTATTGAGGAATTTATAATAAGATAAATACATTCAGACAATTTTCCGCACATTTACTTAATTCAACAAGCAGTTTCTAGCTTTTATAACAAAGGGTGAACTGTTGAACAATCGTTTAAATGTATCAATATATTTGTAAATATGACAATATAAATAAAATATTTGTATTAAAAATAATCATCTATTCTTGTAGCAAAAAAAAAAGAAAGAAATAAGTAGTTGAAAGTTTATAAACAAAATAAAATAATATAAAGTTAATAACTGAGTAAATTTTAGTATAACTAATTTTATAGAACTACAAATAGAACATTTTTTAATCGTTACATGGGTATTTCATTTTTCACTACAATAATTTGGATTAGTAGGATATTAAAAAGGGTAGAATGTGGGAAAAAAAAATAACTGGTAGATTTATATGTGAATAGATTGGTAAATTCTTGTTATGTCAGCAAATCATTTTTTGTATAAATCGATAGAACTCTAGAAATAAAAAAAAAGATCAAACGGTTGCTTTATTTTTTTCTAGTATGTAATTTCAAATTTTTTTAATATTATTAAATGATAATGATTGATTAATTATTTTTGATAAGACGGAT